TACCATTGTTTATAACTGGAACATATTTGAATAGACTGGTAACACATGGGTGCTTTATTTGAAATTTATTTCCCTGGGAGAGCACTACCAAGCCCCTATACTGCAAATCCTCCCTGATCCTGGAAGGCAGAAGTTGTTTTTATCTTGTAAAGCACATAGCTGCCATTTTGCCAGCAAGTCCCCTGCTTACCACAGGTGAGAACTTGAAGGGTATTTTCCCAAGAAGCAGTAGAAGTGATGGAAAAAGCCTTGGAGAAATTTTAGGCAGAGGTGTTGTTGAGTGGGGGCTCAATACCTTCAGTGGATATATTGAAAGAGTAGGGGAATTCCCATTATAGTGATAGAAGCATAATTCTAAGGACATTAAACCTTGGCCTCATAGAAACCACTAAGAGCAGGTAGTGATCTTAAGCCATCTAGATGTTTTGCTTTATAACATGGTATAAATTAGAGAATACCATCTTATCCTGCTGGTTTTAGCAAATGACAGCCAAGAGCCTTGTCTTTTGCTGCCACCTTGTGTTTAGGAGAAGAAAGTCTAAATTCACAATTGCTGTGGCATTGAGAAAGGAACTTTTTTTTTTTTTTTTTTTTTTTTTTTTTTTTGAGACAGAGTTTCCCTCTTGTTGCCCAGGCTGGAGTGCAGTAGCGTGATCTCAGCTCACTGCAACCTCTACCTCCCGGGGTTCAAGCAATTCTCCTGCCTCAGCCTCCTGAGTACCTGGGATTACAGGCGATCACTTCCATGCCTGGCTAATTTTTTGTGTTTTTAGTAGAGACAGGGTTTCACTATGTTGGCCAGGCTGGGCTTGAACACCTGACCTCAGGTGATCTACTCACCTTGGCCTCCCAAAGTGCTGGGATTATATGTGTGAGCCCCCGCACCGTTGAGAAATGAACTTTTAGAGCCAGAAGAGATCTTAGAAACTCTGTAGTCCAGCTCCCTTCACTTTACAGATGAGGGAAACCAAGACCCAGATTGGAACCAAAGTCTCCTTGTTCCTTCCCCTGTGCCATCCTACCTCTCTGGTCAAGCACACTCACATCACATGCACACATCGAGTCCTCAACAGCTAAGCCCATTGATGCACATGGCAGCGAAAGCCAGCATGTCCAAATCCATATGCATCTCATTCAGTGGAAACATTTCCACAGGATTGTGCAGTTGTGTATGACAAGGCCAGGTGACCAATGACAATGAGAGCTAACACTTAGCATTCACTGTGGATCAACTACTGTGCTAAGCACTTTGTGTATATCTCACTCAATTCTTTCACTCACTCTATAAGGCAACAACTATTACTATTGCCATCTTATATTTAAGGAAATTGAGGCTTAGAGAGGTTAAGTAACTTGCTAAAAGTCATTCAGCTACACCTGGCAGAGAGAGAACTAAAACTCAAGTCTGTAACTAGTACAATCTGTGCTCCTGCCCCCTTTTCATTACTCATTATACTGACTTTGCCTCATCCCATTCTTCAGAGATAACATTATTACAATTTGGTATATTCCCTTTCAGCCTTTTTAATGCAGAGATAAATATTTTTAAATTGATTTCAACATTTTTGTACTATAAAATAATGCTGATGAGGTCTTACATATAAATCTTGGTCTGGATATCAGTATTTTCATGATATTTTTATAGAAGGGTCTAAAATTACAATCTTTACTGAGGATTTTGGTACTGGAAAATTGATTTTCAGAGTGCCTGCACCATTTCACAGGCCCACCAATAGTTCATGGAAGTACCCATTTTAACACTTCCTCACTGACACTGGAAGTGTTCATATTTGCTCAATTCTGCCAAAAATAATCTAAATTTTCGCAAATTTCAAGGATCTAGGAGATGAGAGTGATACACATCTACGAATTTTAGACCTAAGTTAACCTAAATGATCCAATAAGAAACGGACTCCTAGCTTGCTTCTAAATATGTGTAATTCTATATGGAAAAAAATAGCTAAATGTCCTAAAATTCCAAATAAAGTATTTAAATAGTCTGAGAGTGCTCGGTTTCTGGACATGGCTGAGCAGGAACCTCCATCATGGGAGTCCCCACCTGTCACAAGAACCAAATGTTCTGTGCAAGGAGCCCAAGAGGCAGGAAGTCGATCCAAAGCCAATGGTCAAGCAGTACATGTTTCTGGCCAGAGAACTAACTCCACCTTCAATCAAGTTGTGCTGTAGAGGATGTTCATGAGTGGCACCAATAGGCCAGGTGATCAAGAAAATGAAGTGTCCTGGCCAAGAACACAAAATGGCTATGGTTGTGGGGATCGTAATTGGAAGGTAAGGTCCTGAGCTGGATGCCCCCAAGGTCTATGCATTGTTCTGCTCTCTAGTCCTCACAAGGACCAAGAAATATATAAGTATTTCAGTAAGGCTCCATGTACCTGCACAGCCACTCCAAACCCTACACCAGAAGCCAAGAGGCCATCTATACTACAAAAACTAACCAGATCCTGTCATTATGTAAAAGATTTTGGATGCTGGGTTGGGTGAGGGATCTGTATACACTGGCAATGAAAAATCTGAAAATTTTAAGAAATTCAATTTACAATAGCTATTAGAAAAAGAACATACTTAGAAACAAATTTAACAAAAGAAATGCAAAACCTATTGCTATGGTTTGAAGGTATGTGTCCCTCCAAAATTCATGTTAGAACCTAATACTCAGTATGATAGTATTGAAATTTGGGTCTTTGGGGAAGTGATTAAGTCATGAACACTCCAAATTCATGAACATGATTAGTGCTCTCATAAAATAAGTTGAAGAGAGTGCTCTCTCTATTCTTTTGCCCTTCTGCCTTCCACCAGATACAGTCACAGCAACAAGGTTCCATTTTGTAAGCAGAAGGCAAGCCTTCACCAGATACTGAATCTGCTGGTGCTCTGATCCTCAACTTCCCAGACTCCATAACTATGAGTAACAAATTTATGCTGTTTATAAATTACTTGGTCTAAGGTATATTGTTATGGCAGCAAAAATGTACTATGACACATATACACTGAAAACCATGAAACATTGATTATTGAAAGACAATTTAAAGGACCTAAATAAATGAAGGACATCCCATGTTCATGGATTGGAAGACTTTACATTGTTAAGATGGCAGTATTCCCCAATTTGATCTACAGATTAAATATAATGTCTATTAAAATCTCACTTGGCTTTGTTGCAGCAACTGACAAGCTGATTTTAAAATTCATACAGAAACTCAAGGGACCCAGAATATCTAAACAACAAAGTTGGAAGACATGCTTTCCAATTCAAAACTTACTACAAAGCTACAGCCATCAAGACAGCATAGTACTGGCAGAATAACAGACATGAATAGAATAGAGTAGAATAGAATAGAATAGAATAGAATAGAATAGAATAGAATTATATAGACATTTCTGATAAGAAGATATACAAATTACCAAAAATGCATGAAATAAACCCTCACATTTATGGTCAACTGATTTTCAACAAGGAAACCAAGACAATTAAATGGGGAAAAAATAATCTTTTCAACAAATGATGTTAGAACAGCTAGATATCCACAGACCAAAAAAAAAGGTGGACCCTTAACTCATACCATAGAAAAAAAGTTAAAATATCAAAAAACCTGAATGTAAGAGCTACAGCTATAAACTTACAGAGGAAAACATTGGCATAAATCTTTATGACCTGGAATTAGACAATGGTTTCTTTGACATGATTACAAAGTACAAGTAATAAAAGAAAAAACATAAGTTGGACATCATCAAAATTTAAAACTATGTTTCAAATAACAACATCAAGAGAATACAAGGACAACCCTGAGAATGGGAGAAAATTGTTGTAAACCATGTATCTGATAGGGACTTGCATCTAGAATGCAGGTCTTAGAATTCAATAATAATTCAACAATAAAAAGACAACCCAATTTTTAAAATAAGCAAAGGATTTATATAGACATTTCTGATAAGAAGATATACAAATTACCAAAAGTGCATGAAAAGATAGTATCATTAACTGTTAGGTAAGTGCAAGTCAAAATCACAATAAGATACCACTTCATAGCCACTAAGGCAGCTATAATCAAAAAGACAAAGTAACAAGCATTGGTAAAAATGTGGAGAAATTGGCCCTGTTGGTTAGAATGTAAAATGGCACAGCTGCTTTTGAAAACAGTTTTCTTTATAACCTAATATAAGCTCAATTTTGCATGTGTTATTTGGTTATATGAGTCTATCTGGAAACACATTTGGATTTATTTATAAAATTGTTTAGATATTTGATGTCCTTTTTAATTTTCCTCTGCTTGATCAGACATGGACTAACAAAGGTGACTAAAACCTTCTTTTATTTCTTCTTCCTTATTGCATAAAGTTATGTGAAAACTCCATTACACTGTAAATTATAATCTTTTCCATCATAAATTTATTTCTTTGCTTCATTTAAGACTTGAGCTCAGGTTTGTTTGATATTAATAATGTGAAACAAGGTTCCTTTTTTTAGTATTCACCTTTTATGCCCTGGTCCATATTTTTGGTTACTATGGAGAGGACCAAATATGTAAAATATAATAAATTTATTTTCACATACATGGGATCATAAATGGGGGAAAGAAAGTATGGAGGGAGTACTATAAGAGAGCTAAACATTCATCTTCCATAATAGAAAGTCAATAGATAGTACCTACATATGAACCAAAAAAAATGAAGAAAATCCATAAGACATGTTATTAAAAATATGACAAATACAAAGAAAAAAAAGTTAAGAGTTGAGTGGTTGCTGCAGGGAATCAGGAATGAGATAGGATGGGATTGAGGAGGGAAGGGTACTAGTATCTGTAGCTACTCTGTTTTGGGATACTATATCCTTCATACGCTTCCCTTTCCTTTGGTTTCACCATTAAGATGACTGACACTAAACACAGATAACATATATTGAGAGCCCACTATGTGCCAGGCTAAGATACATCCTATAGTATCTGTGAGGGATTGGTTCCAGGCCCCCTCATCGACAGACACCAAAATCCATGGATGCTCAAGTCCCTTAGATAAAATGGTGTAGCATTTGCGTATGACTCACACACATCCTTCCATATACTTTAAATAATCTCTAAGCTGAGCATGGTGGCTCACACCTGTAATCCCAAGCACTTTGGGAGGCTGAGGCAGAAGGATCACTTGATACCAGGAGTTGGAGACATAATGAAAGCCTATCTCTACAAAAACTAATAATAATAATAATGATAATAATACTAATCAATTAGCCAGGCATGGTGGCATGAGCCTACAGTCTCAGCTACTTGGAAGGCTGAGGTGGGAGGATTGTTGGAGCCCAAGAGTTTAAGGTTACAGTGAGCTATAATTATGGCACTGCACTCCAGCCTGGGCAATAGAGCTAGAACCTATTTCAAGAAAAAAAAATCACAATACCTAATACAAGGTAAATGTTTTATAAATAGTTGTTATACTGTATTATTTTTAAATTACTTATTATTATTTTTTCCCAAATATTCTCAATCTGTAGTTGGTTGAATCCACAGATGCAGAACCCACAGATACAGAGGGCCAATTGTATGTAAGTATGTATAAAGTGGGGGTACAGCCATGCCTGGAAAAGGGTTGGAGTGTTGGGTCCCAGAGCTGAGTCAAAACAGAAGTCTATATCTTTAAAAATGCAGAAAAAAACATATGATAAAATTCAATATCCTATTCATGGTTTCAAACAAAATCTTAGGAAAGTAGGAATGGAAGGGAATTTCCTTAAACCTTTAATCTTCTCAAGATTCTTAGTAAGGTGGGTACTATTGCTACTGCCATTTATCAGATAAGGAATCTTAAGTTCATAGGGCTTATAATCAGCAACATTACGCCTGGCTGTGTGACTTGAGATCTTCTACCTACTGGGTTACCTTAGGTTAATGTGACATGGGTACACAAAGTAATCCTTAAAATGAAAAGAACTCAAAGTTACACTCTTTGTGCATTCTCTCATGTCCACAAGAGGGCACCAGGACTCACTGAATTCAAGCCCAATAGTCAAATGATGAAGTAATTGTAGAGTATCAAACGGCTTAAATATTAGTAAATTTGAAAACCCACAAGTGTGTATTCTCCCAGGTACACCTGCAACTTGGGTCAGAATTGGCCAGCTCTGAGCTTTTCAATGATAAAATCCCATTGCCAGTTAGAGTCTTCATATAATTCTACCTACCCCAAACATCCTGGGACACCCAGAAGACAGTAATGATAGATTGCATAACCATCTTACCTGCCCCTCCGCTATGCAGTGGAGTTGTATGCAGATGTTATTTCAATGAGTTTCAATTAGGAGAAAGTGAGGGAGGAGAATACCCTTTCAGGGAGGATATATCGGACTTTAGGGGTGGAGGATTAGAGTATGTGTAATTTACTTGTACACATACTATATTATTAATCTATATTAAGGTTAATCTATGTTAAAAAGTTCAAAAAGCTTAATCAATGTTAAAATTTATATTTGGAAAATAGCTTATAACTTCCATAATACATATATTAAGCGAAAGTTTGATGTGGGTTTTGTATGTTTATCAAAAGAAAGCAGGAGTTTAAAAAATTGAGAAGTTGGCAGGGCATGGTGGTACACACCTGTAATTCCAGCACTTTGGGAGGCCAAGGCGAGTGGATCACCTGAGGTGAGAAGTTTGCCACCAGCCTGACTAACATGGTGAAACCCTGTCTCTACTTAATACAAAAAATTAGCTAGGCATGGTGGCATATGCCTATAATCTGAGCTACTTGGGAGGCTGAGACAGGAGAATCGCTTGTACTTGGGAGGCAGAGGTTGCAGTGAGCCGAGATCATGCCATTGCACTCCAGCCTGGGCAACAAGAGTGAAACTCTGTCTCAAAAAAAAAAAAAAAAAAAAAAATTGAGAAGTCGGCTTCTGTCTCAACATATCTGGGACTGTACAAAACACTTATATTGCAGAGCATCAAAATCTCTTACAGTTGTCTCTTCCTTTCCATGTTTACTGGCACTTTCGTTCAGGTCCTTGTTTGTCCCTTTTTGTTCATGGAGTTTTGTGAATGTGGGGGTAAAGCCAAGCCCAGGGAGAGGGCTGTGGTATTGGATCCTAGAGCTGAGTCAAAACAGGAATGAAGGCCGGGCGCGGTGGCTCAAGCCTGTAATCCCAGCACTTTGGGAGGCCGAGGCGGGTGGATCACGAGGTCAAGAGATCGAGACCATCCTGGTCAACATGGTGAAACCCCGTCTCTATTAAAAATACAAAAATTCAGCTGGGCATGGTGGCGCGTGCCTGTAATCCCATCTACTCAGGAGGCTGAGGCAGGAGAATTGCCTGAACCCAGGAGGCGGAGGTTGCGGTGAGCTGAGATCGTGCCATTGCACTCCAGCCTGGGTAACAAGAGCGAAACTCCGTCTCAAAAAAAAAAAAAAAAAAACAGGAATGGACATCTTGACAGATGGAAAAGCCTTTAATAAAAGTCAGCACACATTCGTGGTTTTAAACAAAAGTGTAGAAAAATAGGAATAGAAGAGAATTTTCCTAAACTAATAAAGGATATCTACAAAACGCCTTCCACAGATATACTTCACTGAGTTTACAAGATCACTAGACAAAGGGTGAATATACAAAAATCAATTATACAGCCAGGCACCATGGCTCACGCCTGTAATCCCAGCACTTTGGGAGGCTGAGGCAGGCGGGTCACCTGAGGTCAGAGTTTGAGACCAGCCTGGCCAACATGGCAAAAGTCTGCCTCCACTAAAAATACAAAAATTAGCTGGGCATGGTGGTGCACATCTGTAATCTCAGCTACTTGGGAGGCTGAGGCACTAGAATCGCTTGAACCTGAGAGGCAGAGGTTTCAGTGAGCCGAGATCACACCACTGCACTTCAGCCTGGGTACAAAGTGAGACTCTGTCTCAAAAAAAAATCAAATTTATATTCATATAATAGCTACAAACAAAAGACAAAAATTTAAAAAGAATACATTTACTGTAGCAAATCAAACACATAGGAATAAATCTAATGAAATATATATAAGACCTTTACACTGATAATCACAAAATATTACCGGGAAAAATTAAAGAAGACCAAAACAAAGGGAGAGATACATAATATTCACGAATTGAAATGTAAAGACATTAATTTTTTATGACGTTATCTATAGATTCATCACAATCTTCACCAAAATCTAAGTATTTTTTTTGTGGAAGTTGACAAACTATTTCTAAAATACATATGAAAACGCAAAGGCAATAGCTGAGGCAATCTTAAAGAACAAAGCTGGAAGACTTCCACTTCCAGTTATCAAGAGTCATTATAAAGCCATAATAATTGCCGGGCACGGTGGCTCATGCCTGTAATCCCAGCACTTTGGAAGGTCGAGGCAGGCATATCACTAGGTCAAGAGATGGCCAACATGGTGAAACCCCATCTCTACTAAAAATACAAAAATTAGCTGGGTGTGGTGGTGCGTGCCTGTAGTCCTAGTTACTTGGGAGGCTGAGGCAGGAGAATCACTTGAACCCGGGAGGCAGAGGTTACAGTGAGCTGAGATTGTGTCACTGCATTCCAGTCTGGCGACAGAACGAGACTCCATCTCAAAAAAAAAAAAAAAAAAAAAGCCATAATAATCAAGATTGTATAACAGTGGCACGAGGATAGACAAGGTGACTGGTGGGACAGAACATAGCATACAAAAAAAGAACCGTATGTATATAGTCACTTGATTCATGAAAATGATGACACTGCAGATGGAAAAGAGAATCTTTTTAATAAAAGGTTCTAGGTACACTGGATAAGCCATATGACAAAAAAATGTATCAGGACTCTAATCTCACATCACACACAAAAATCAATCCCAAATGAATGCAGATCCAAATATGAAAGATAAAACCAGAAAGCTTTTAGAATAAAGCACAGAAAAACATTCTTGTGATATTGGAGTAGCAAACATACCTTTTAAAAAACCATACAAAGTCATGTAAGGATATGGAAAAGAACCAATGGTTCTTCCTACTCTCTACTCTCACACAGTCGTTCAACACTTCTGATGCCAGAGTGTGGGTTTTTTTCCCCACACACCAAGCAATTCTCTGGCAGAGTCTACAGTGAACACGAACTAAGTGTCCTCCAATTCTACTGAATTCTGTCACTACCTGGAGATAGTGTCAGGTCCCACAAGTTGAGGGTTCAGTCCCACTAAACTGTCCCCCACCTCAGATGCCAGTCACAAGCACAGGATGTGATGTCTGCTTCTGACTGACCAGCCCCGTGATCTCCATCTTGGGTTTGATTAAATTGCTAGAGTGTCTCACAGAACTCAGGTGTCTTAGTCCTTTTTTCTGTTGCTTATGATAGAATATCTGAAACTGCATAATTTATAAAGCAAAGGAAATTATTCCTTACAGTTATGGAAGCTAAGGAGCCCAAGGTGTAGGGGCTGCATCTGGTGAGGGCTTTCTTGCTGGTGTGGACTCTGCAGAGTCCTAAGACGGCACAGGGCATTACATGGCAAGAGAGCTGAGTCTTCCTCTTCTTATAAAGCCACCAGTTCCACTTCTGCAATAACCCATGAATCCACTGACCTATTAATCCATCAATGGATGAATTCATTCATGAGGGTAGAGCCCTCAAGACCTCGTAAAGACCCTCTTCTCAATACTACCAAATTGAGGATTACGTTTTAACATGAGGTTTGGAGGGGACAAACACTCAAACCATAGCATCAGGTAGATACTTTACTTACATTTACTGGATATAATAAAGGATATGGATGACCAGACAGATGAAAAGATACGTAGGGTGAAGTCTGAACGGGCCCATGTGCAGGAGCTTCTGTTACCATGAAGTTGGGGTGTACCACCCTCCTGGCATGAAGATGTGTTTGCCAACCCAGAAGCTCTCTGAATCCCATAGTTTAGGAATTTTTATGGAGGCTTTATCATGTAGACATGATCAATGATTAACTTTACTTCTAGCCCCTTTCCCCTCTCTGGAGAACTGTAGTGAGTTGGGGGTTTAGGGCTGAAAGAACCCAGCTTATAATTATGTCTTAGCCTTTATGATGACCAGCTCCCATCTAGGAGTCCACCAAGAGCTACCTC